ATAAAAAGACATGGGATCCCTGGCTTAGAACATATCCAGATAGGAGTAATGTATAAATTGCTTTTTCTTTTAGGTCTTTGGAATGTGGTGGAAGGCTTCAACTCTGGGTCACGCAAGCATTGTCTTTTGTCATTTGTCCTTTGTTTGGTGTTATTGTAGATAGGGTGTTCCCTAAAGGATATAAATATGACATGTTATGTCAATTAATAGAAAGGAAAATGATTAATGAATGTCTTATATGAATACCTTTCTACTGTCTGATTGTAAGTTTGTGTTATTTATGATGTAAAAAATGTTATAAAGAATAAATTAAAAAAAAAAAAAAAAAAATCGGTATTGTGTGCCGCAGGTCATGCTACCGGGTGTTAGGGAGCACTTATATAGCTGCAGACTAGCGCCCGGTGGCATCAACCTCTACACGCAAAGAGCACAGAGAGCCGCCCCCCACCCATTGAAAAAGCCGGCAATGCAAGGGAGCATTGCTCGATCGCTCCCGGTGGGGGGGGCATAGCGATGCAAGGAGTATCGCAATGAAGGAGCCTGGGACACATGGAGAACCAATGTGAAATTAAGGTAAGAGGGAAACTTTATAGTGTGTATATAGATGTATCTCCCATGTAGTTCTTTTACAAAAAGTCTGTACTTATGATTGTTCTTTTTTTTTGTTGCTAGCAAATAAGATATGTTTCCAGTAGTAATGTTGTCTTGTTGATATGATGCTCTGTCTTGAGAGTATATCTAGGTATTCTTCCCTTGGGAGTGAAACATCAGTGGTTTTATTTATCAAATAGTCTTATCCTCTATCCTATGGATTTTATAATCATATTTTGCTATTCTCTATCCAATGATTCTTGGTAGATTTGCACATGAGACTACTACCACTTGCCAGACATATATTCTATTTTGAAATATTTTCAAAACTGTCCCGTCTAGATTCTTAGTCCATGTAGGCATATCTTTATTTACATGGTATTTATGTGTGCTGTAATTAAAATGTGACATATCATACACATTTTATACTATTCCATATATCTTCTTTATTTTACCCAATAAATAATAAAAAAAAAGTTTTAAAGAATGTGTGTCTGCCTGCTTCAGTCAGTGTGTGTGAGTGTGTTTGTGTGTCTGCTTGGGACATTGTGTGTGTGTGTTTGTGTGTCTGCTTGGGTTAGTTTTTTTGTCTGATAGGGTGTCTGTTTGGGCCAGTGTGTGTGTCAGTCTACACAAGTCATTTATGTCTGCTTGAGTCAGCGTGTGTCACTATGGATGGGCAGGGAATGTGTTTGTGCATTGGTCACTAAATGTGATTGTGTGGACCATTGAGTATGAGTGAGTGAATGAGTGTGTGCATGAGAGTGTGTGTGTATGTATGTATGTATCAGTGATTGCATTTGGGCAGAAAGGACCATTTTCATAAAATATATATATTTTAAATCAATACTTTTAAAGGAACACTATAGTGTTAGTTATTAAAAAAAAACTGTATTCCAAATACTATAGTGCATCAGTCTCTACTTTCAAGCACCCCTCTACCTTCTCCCCCCACCTCCAACCATAAAAAAAGGGGGGGTTGGAGATTTACTTACTCTTATTTACATTTTTCAAGCACCAAGAATCCCTCTGCACTGCTTGCCTCCATACCTCGCTTAATGTCACTGATGGGACAATGCTGGTCCAATCCAATGTTCCTCATACAGGAGCATTGGGGACCTGATTTGCATAAGTGGCAAGCGGTATGCACTTCCAACAGCGGAGGTGTCACTATTGGCTGTCAGTGTCAGCTACTAGAGGCATGTTTAAACCTTCATGGTAAGGCAATGTTTTATCTTGTTGGGTTAAACCTACAGGACCACTGTGGAGTGAATGGGACGGCAAATTTTTTTTTGCCTAGGGCGGCAATAATCCTTGCACCGGCCCTGCGTGTGTGTCTGTATGGGTCAGTGTGTGTCTGCATGGATCAGTATCTGCGTGTCTGATAAATCTCTGTGTGTCTGCATAGGTCAGTGTGTATGGCAATCTGCTTGAGTCAGTGTGTGCGCGCGTGTCAGTCTGCATAGGTCAGTGTGTACGTCAGTTTGCATGGGTCAGTGCATGTGTCAGTCTGCATAGGTTATTGTGTGTGTGTGTGTGTGTTTGCCAGTCTGCATGGGTCGGTGTGTGCCAGTCTGCATTGGTCGGTGTGTGTGTGTCAGTCTGCTTGGGACAGTGTGTGCCAGTCTGCATGAATCAGTATGTGTCTACTTGAGTCAGTGTGAGTGGGTGGGGCAAATGGGCCAGTGGAGCACACACATCCCTTCCAACCTCACTCAAGTTTTCACTCTTTACTTCTCTCTCATGCTGGCCAGGGTGCAATCTGCTTTAACCTTCCCGTTGCATGTCCCCAGCTCTTTTTTACCTGTGTCAAGACTCTGTTTCTAGAGTATCGCAGAGCCAGACTTTCCAATACACTACTCACTAGATCCAAGCTCAAGGGGGACTTGTGCCTTCCCGATAATTTCTTATATTACAAGGTGGTCTATCTGTAAATGATACTTGAGCGATCCACTCTGGGTCTTTCCAAGTCATGGTTTTTTTTTATCGGAAATACACTCACTCCTTTAGCTCTGTTCTCCCTTCTGTGGCTCCCTGATCCTACAGGGACAGATTTCTGCAGGCGCATCCTTCTATTCTAACCACATTATGGATTTGGAGACAGTGCATCTTAGGTCATGCTCTATTCACTTCACCTTCCCCCTTGATCTCTCTTTTGGATAATCCACTATTTCCCTCCAGCACAATATGCCTCTTTGCTCCCATCTCTGAATCTTCCGCACCCCCTCAGAATGTATAACTTCCTGCATTCCTTTTTTGGTACACACTCCATATCACCTTCAATTTATTTCCGTTAGGTAAAACTATCTCATTTTGTCTCCGCTATACTGAGCTCGGGGAGATGTCCTGGGACCTGTGTACCATTGAAGTACTCAGTCTATGTACTCAAGCCCTGGAACACTGTATCTCACAGGTTAACTATTACTGGCATCCTCTTCCTCTGCTTTATCTTTACTCCCGTTCTACACAAAATTATGGAAGGAGGCTCTTCATAAAACTATCGATGAAGATCACTTGAAATGGGTGACCCATAAATTTTCTATCAGTACACGCTATCATGAATCGTGCTACAAACTGCTCACCTTTTGGTATAATACACCAGGGAAGCTATCTCACATGTACACGACAGTGGATCCTGAATGCTGGAGCTTGTACCCTTCTTCACATTTGGAAGTAATGTCCACAGGCGGATCCTGTTCTGTTAGACTCACCCACTCCATTAGAATGTGGATATGGAAGCACCCTCCATGCAAGGACTGGATCCTCAGAGTGGGAGAGATTCACTCTTACGAGCAACTTATTCTTGGGACCGCGGAGAACCCCTACATTGATACATCATGGATTCATTGGCTTTCTGAAAGGTCGGCTGCCACCAGGGAGAGTGTGATCTAGGTTAGTGAGTTTATTCCTTTCGTTTCTGCACGTGGTATTCTGGTGACATCTGCAAAGGTTATGTTGCTTTATTGCTATTATAGTAGTTTAGCATATACAAGTAATTCATATAAATAACACAGTAAAATAATATCAAGAGAAGCATAAAGGTAACGGCAAACCTGTGATAGATGTTAGATGGTGTGTTAAAGTCTGGCGGTACTCCAGCCAGGCAGCTCAATTCAGACCCGATACAGCACCTTTAACTCACCTTTAACTCAGCCTGTGTCAGCAATGGAATGGAAAGGGGACTAGGTTGGGTACCTCCCAGGAGTGGTTGCATGAGGACCTCCAGCGTCGCCAGAATCCCCATAGGAAAGCATTGAGTAATGGGGAGATCCTAATGCGTGCAAGGGACATCAGCGCTGGATTCAGGTAAGTGTCTGAAGGGGTTTTAACCCCTTCAGCGACGTCGGGTGAGGGGGCAGGAGGGAGGGGTTTGTTTTCCTGGCACTAGAGAATCCATTTAATTTTATTCTTGCAATGTATGACTGTTATGCAGTATAGACATGTTGTCTGTCAACAATGATAAATTTTGTGTGCCCCGTAAAGCGTTGGCCAGCTGCCAGATAATTAACCCTCAAAGATTATGTAACCCCTGCCAGTTGGAAAATGGGGGAAAAAAAATCTTTTTTATCCGAGCCTGCATTTGAAGCATTCGATCGGGGCAAAATTTAAGCCCATTTATGTGCACTTGAATAGTGTGAACAATGTCTGGATTTTGATGTTCAAATAGGCCCGTATACAGCTGAATGGTTTTGATACACACACACCATTCTGACTTTGGGGAATACCCGCATTAGTTTTAATCTTCTCATAAATGGTCTGATGTTGAACCAGAGGATGGTGCCAGCAGTCTGTCAGTGAAACCACTATAGTGGTATGTCTTAGTTGTGCTGTTTAGTAGAGTGCCCCTTTCAGCCCTCACTGGCTGCTGTTGTGTAGAATCAAAATAGCTACATGAGTACCTACAGCAAATCAGAAACTAAGATTCAAACAAATTAGCCACTGTCCAATATAGAGGAAATGGCTGTTTGATCTGAATGATGTAAGTCTGTGTCACAAGGGAGTCCAGGTTAGTAAAACGGTACATGTTTTATTAACACGTTAACAATTTTGACGCTAATCCATAAGAACCTTGACTGGACAAAGTAAAGGTCAGGAACATCAGCTGGCCCATCCAGTGATACATTCTATAATTATGAGAAACTGAAATTGAGTATCTGAACCCTTAAAGTGAACAGCCACCAGATTAGCTAAGTAAACAAACCCAATGGGTGCTAGGTATTTGCACAGTACTTGCTGTGAGGGATTAGCAGCAGAGGTGGAATTTCCATTTCAGATTCTGTTTCTGCATTTTAGCAATCGAGTTGCAATCCTCTCTCTACGTTCAATGTCACATCTAATCTTTTACCAATGATGAGACACATGTAACACTCTGCAATCACCCTGTCATGCACTGGTGTATAGCCATACTGTGTAGCCTGCCTCCTCTCTGTGATTTGGTGTTAGTTTGTAGGACAGGGGTTACAGAGGAAGTACTCAGCCTGTTTAGGCCAGCCCATTCTGTGTGTACAAGAGCGAGCCAAGCACTGAACCTCTTTCACAGAGCCTCACACAGGCTGCAACAATGTGGCTGTACCTCATCACAGGGCTTGTGCTGTTCCTCGTCGTCCTGAAGAAGTGGTTTGGAAGCCGGGGACCCAACCCGCTTGCTGTGGACACCAGGAAACCACCTAAACCGCTGGTATTTGATAAAGCACTGAGAAGAAAAGTGATTAAAAATGGTAAATAAAATGACTGCCTGTCACCTTGAAATACAGGATGAGCAATTACTGCTTGTTTCTACCTGCTGTAACGTAACACCTAACAATCGATTAGATTGTTAAGATCTCATGTTTTGCCTGATATTCTACTCTCATTGTCTATGTTCATTATCCCTGTCAGTAAGAGGGAGCATCTCATTCATTTGCCCATATTTTAGTACAGTATCCCTATCTAATTCAAACAATACAACTCCCTAACCTGGCTGGTTTTGTTATATAACAGTGATTATATGTAAAAAGAAATGCACACCCTACCAAGGAGGACACATTTTAAACAATAGTAAATCCTTTAGATTGTAAGCACACGGGCTATCTAGCAAATCACTTTGTATGAAAGAACTTCAATGGCTCGATATCCGCTTACGGGCATGGCCCTCTCTACCGTCTGTATTTGTCTGTGTATATTGTACGTCCTCCACTAATTGTACAGCACCGCAGAATCTGTTGGCGCTTTATAAATACCAGTAATAAAGAAAATAAATAAATGTCTATTTATTTATGTAGCGCAGACCTGACCCACCAGATGTTGCTGAACTACAACTCTCATGTTGTTTTTTATAAATTTTTTCTTAGCTGATTGGTATAGTCACAGCATGTGATACATAATTAGTCATGTATTAGTTACCGGTACACCGGCTTATTATGTTCAGATGCCAAATAGGCATAGTTCAGTTTAGGAACTTGGCAGATCCTCACATTGGGGTCGCTGAGCCTCACCTTTAACCAGGGGATGCAAGGCTGCATTTTTATTTATTGATTTGCTAATAAAGTGTTTTACCAGGGAGTACATAGGGATATATACACAGAGGGTAAGAACGTGACCAGTTAATGTGTAAATTGGTTTACAATACCACAGATCTGAAAAACAAATCTAGCTGGTATGTGTTAATTATACTCCCCTACCTCATAGATGTTTTACTATGTTTTCTATTAGTGATTGCACTTTATGCAATTGGAGCGGGACTGTATAATTTTGTCCACGTGCCTGTAGGTTAACTAGGTGTTTGTGAAAGCAATATAATTAACATAGCACTAAGCACTTTATATGTGTTCGTAAGAAGAACAGTTTATAGAAATGTTATTATTTTGTAAGCTTTTTAAAGTTAGTATGTTATGCTGTACATTACAAAATAATGTTATATATCTCTTTAGACTGAAAAGGGTAAATCATATTGTACCTTGTCTTTTACTGCTACTTCCTCTTACTTGTTCTTCAGTCAACAATATATACATAAAGTAAATAAAAATAATATTCCCCTTTTGTTTGCACCGGTATCTTTCTTCCTTTTGTTTTTATCCATTCCTTCTTTCTTGTCCATTTTTTTTAAGTATGTTTGCATGTCTGTTTACCATCTCACATCTTGCTCAGAGCACATCTTTAATGCCATTTATGTGCTTGTATATTTATTAATTAAATCTTTTTTTTTTCTCGCAGTTTTCTCTCCAGATAAAATACCTCAGAATCTGGATGCCATTGTCATTGGCAGTGGTATTGGAGGACAGGGAGCCGCTGCTCTCCTTGCCAGAGCTGGAAAACGGGTTCTCGTTCTGGAGCAACTCGGTAAATTGGGTGGAAGCTGTCACACTTTCAACGAAAAGGGCTATGAATTTGATGTTGGTGAGTATGAAGAACGTGAGCAAGTATTCACCGGCACATCTGGCAGTCCAGCATGTGTGGACTAAATTGCCCAGTCAACCTCCTAATAACATGAATAACCGGTTGTGATGAACATAGACAATAAGTCAAGTAGTTGTGTGGATTTTCGTGACAGGAGACAGGGGTGGATTTTCACTAATGTAGTCTAGGTACGTGCTCTAATGGCTGATTTCTGAGCATGCTTTTTGGAAGTATTGACAAAATGCCACCGACTGATACCTCTGCAACATCAGATGACAGGATAACTTGCCACAGATTGTTATTGAATGGATAAACACCATATAACAGAACACCAGAATTCCTTACAACAGCATTCAATCCCAATGTCAGTATACAGTGTAGATACACAATCCTCTGGAGAGTTTATGAATGGGCATATTTTGAAATAATGTTAAATAATGTACAGTAATCAAATTCTGAGGGTTTCCTGGGTAGAATAACAAATCATTTATCTTTTTCCTCTCAGGTATCCATTACATTGGACAGATGAATGAGCAGTCTCCAACACGAATATTGATAGATCAACTGACTGATGGGCAGCTTCAGTGGGCAAAGATGGATGACCCGTTCGATGTAGTGCTTATAGGGAACTTGGAGAATGCTCGTCGCTACAACATGCCTGTCGGGCAGCAGCCGTATACAGAGGAGCTGATAAAGGCTTTCCCAGGGGAAAAGAAAGCCATCCAAAACTTCATGAAGCTGGTGAAGGTTAGTCTAATGAGTGGCAAACATGGCTGTCATTATGAGAGGAACAATGTATGCATGATCTGTGTATTGTGGTACCAAACCACTCTTCATGCATCCTTAATGGTTCAGGCTTATCAATATCCCAACTATAACATAACTAGCAAAATATCAAATTCAAAATCAATGGGACAACCTTTGTGTCTAAATGCAGTGTCTGGGATTAGTTGCAGAATGTGGAGCAACCACTGAGTCCCTGTGCTTTCTGAATTATCTCCACAGGTGGAACAGAACGCTATAGATGTGCATGAATGTATTCTGAGCTCAACCCCAAGATTGGTCAAATGGTTCTTATTGGCCCTCAAATACTACATATTTTATTTATTCTGTTTAACCTAGAGTGACACATACAGTTATAGTTATACTGTCCAGTATAAGTCCAGCTTTGTCTGTGTTTATAACATTCTGTGTTAAAGTGTTTTATTTGAAATAGATAGCGTCCCTTCTTTTTCTACCACTCCCATCTCCCTGACATGAAAAGGGACCATAGATACCAATTACCATTTCGTTTTACAGAAGGTATCTGGCCGAGTCTCAGATATGGTTGTCCTGAAGATGTTGCCACTGCCACTTGCACGGTTCCTGTGCCGCATTGGCCTTGTGAAACTGATCTCTCCGTTTTTCCGGTATGCTAGCCGCAGTGTGTCCAACGTCATCAATGAGCTGACTGACAACAAAGAGCTGAGAACTGTATTAAGTTACATCTTTGGAACATATGGTATGACATGGCACATGACTCAGGTGCTTATAGGTGCACTAAATCTGTCTGGTTAATCCTTTCCTGTTTCCCTGCACCTCTTGTCTCAACTCCCCTTCATTACTTTTAGATTGCAAGCTCACATGCTATCTTGCAGCATACTTTGGATACAGTTGCTATAAGATTTTAAGCTTACAGAATCTCTCTGTTTCTCTTGTATTTGTATGTCTCAAGTGTTATATTTGCTTCCCCTAATTAAAATCTGTTGGTGCTTTATAAATACAAAATCATAATAATGATGATGGTGATTTAAAATGATTTATTGTGTAATTGTGGGAGGGGTTACCCGGCGATAAAAACACGGGCCACCCCTCTCACTTGACTGTTAACGCCGGGTTCAGCCAGAACCTTGGACTTCCTGGTCAACTCACCAGGACATCACTCCCACATGGTCTCGCTACAGGTCAAGTCCCCCCTGCTCCGGTCCACAACATCCCACCGCAGCAGACCTCCTTGCCTTACCTACGTTGGGGCTTCTCTTCCCGCTGATCGTGCCTGGCTATAGGTGCCGCAGCAACTCCTACCTCCACACTGCTTCTGGGTTCCACTTCTGGGTTCCAGATTCCGGGGTCATGAACCGTGAGTTTTCCTGAATGGTTCTCTCACGCTTCATTCGTCTGGCGCACGGCGTTCGTTAAATGAATACTCATTTATACCTTTCATTCATACTGAATTCAACCGTACGAATCACCATACCCAACATTAATACCACATCTACCGGTGATATTCATGATTACACCATTATTCAATACTATTCTATGTTTCAGCTTCTGTTACCAGATTCACTGCCACTTACTCTTAGGTTCTACTACCCCCAAATCTGCCGTTAGGTTACGATAATTACGATAATTACAATAATTAGTAATTACTATGTATATGTTGCCTGGGGCATACTTCCTACTTGGTTATTTTCCTCTAAACATGTCACTCATGTTATTACTACTACCCATACGTTGTGTACTATTCTAGACTGACAGCTCATATGTGTATGTTAACTATTTATGAATGTTTATATGTACAGTTGTTTTCACGTTGGGGCAAATTACAGCCGTATTGTTCCCCCTCACTGTACTGACAATTTGCCTAACTACTAAACTGTCATGTCATTCTCCCCATACCCTGGGTATGTATGGACAAATTCCTCGCAGAAAATCAAGCATGCTGATCCATTCCGCACCATAACTCTTACTCCTAAAACCCCTACGCCCATAAGTTAAACACTATTCTTACATGCTAATTATATAGGCCTAAATGTTTTTCAACCATCAGCATATGTTTCTAATCTTGTCTCTTCCTACGTCGAGGGTATGGCATTTTTGTCTCCAGCATGTTCGGGTCCAGTACTCTGTCCCCTACAAGCATGGTTGATGGCCATTACGGCCTCACGTCAATACTGACACTTGAGCATTCTAGAGGTTTCGGACTAGACTCCTGGTACCAAGTTCTGTACCTATCATCAGGTCATTTGACTCAGCAGGTACGTATTCTATCAAGATATGGTGTTTTCAATCCCTATGTTTACTATGCCGACTCTCATTTATCATCAGTTACACCGCAGGGTATGCCACTGTATATTGTCTATGATACCCAGTTTATTGCTTCTCCTTAAACAACCAGTAACCTCCCAACCGATCAATGACCTACAAATCTCCCCCCCTCCCCATTTGTGTTTCTCCGCATTTTTATTTTCACCCTGTACCTCAGGACTCAAATGTATGTTCAGAAATCCCACAAATTTACAACCTTTCATCAAGCATGTCTTATCATTTTACACTTCTGCTATTCTTTATGAGCTCTCTGCTAAGCTGCTTACAATCCTTCCTAAGTGGCATACACATGGCCATACTCTACTCTAAGGAGGTTACAGTATCCGTCATCATGTATGAAATCCTTACATCTCTTATCAGGCTATTCCAGTTCAGTGTAATTTCAATAATCTGGTGTAACCATGACCACTTACATTGTGATACATACAATTTATTACTTTTCATATAGCCCATTTCCCCGCTACGAAGCTCTTCCATCATTTCCAGCTTACTAGGGTGTGCTACAACCCTGTCATACCTCAGCCCTCCATGAGTTAAGCAGCACGTTACAATTTTTCGGACCCTCAATTGGGTGCTCCCATACGGCATAAGATTTACATTGGGCATAAGTTTCATTTAGCATACATCCTGCCACAACAATCTCTCTACATACGGCCCTCACTAGGCCGTCACTCATACGTTACATACGGCCCACCACGGGCATTCCACTGCAACTCCATTTCGACCCCTCATTTGAGCAATTACGATGATTAAGGTCTCGTCAGGCCACTCATTTTTCTTCCTACACCACCCTCTGTCAGCATACATTTCCCACCCATAGACACTTGCTGGAGCTCCAAAGTTAATTTCCTGCTAATAAAATATGTGTACAACATACTCTCACATTTACAATTGGTCCTTCTTATGGATGGACACACAGCGGGAACTCACACATAGATACAACACGTTTAATTACCTTCCCTATCCACATGTTAATGGAACTAAGATTATATACATATTTTGTTACCTTATCTCGATTCTACTATCTATACAAGTCTCCCCATTGTTGATGTCTTAGTCCTTAAACACAACACAGGTACGTTGTGCCCTTTTCTTAATTAACACTTACACCATCCTGGATGCATTCCCATAGGCGTTCCCATTGTGTTGTTAGGTTCCTCTCTATAAGAATCCATTCCCTTGCTCAACCACACTAGTTGGGCCAGGTACGTACGTTCTATATACCTTCCTTAAATTCCTTATGCTCCTATTCCTCTACATTCCTTAGGGATAGATCAACTGGCTGAAAAGTGTAGTGGTGCTGGAGTGAGTATCTGTCAAATGCTACCCAGACAACACATCAGATTGTGAAGTTCATCAGGGTTGGTTCTCCCTACTCAGTTACACCATTACGTTCGAAGTTCACTGGCTTGCAACACAGCAACTCTATCTTGTCCGCACACTTATACAGGCTACCTTTCATGGTAGCTGTTGATTTGACTCGATCCCACTTGCTGACATGATACTAAGCACACCATACGCTACCAAACTACCTACAGTATTCCTAAACAATTAGAATTATACTAAATTAGGTCATATTATGGCCTTGTTCCGTTGGGGGCACACCTGACTCTCTGCCAATATCTGCCATTCAAATAACAGAGCTCTGGCCACTACCGACATTGGGCACTTTGGCGTATCATTTTGTCATCACGTATTCGATCATACCTTTGTAGTGTTCATATCCTTTTTGCCACCTCATCCCTAAATTAGCTCACAAATATCACAAACGTATCTCATACCACCTACAGGGATAACCTTATGACAATCAGCAAGATTTCAGGTCTACATACTAGACCAATTATCTGACTCACACAGGACTATATGCCTGTCTTAAGATCACACAATTACTCACAACTTAAATTGCATTACATACGTCAGGACTTTCCCTAACTCGTACACCACTCTTCAGCATTTAGTGAGTCAATCTCATTGTTGGGAACTACTTCCAGCCTTTAGTAATACCCCAGTACACATAATCGAACACTGGGACATAAGAATCTGCTATAACATCTCTCAATAGAGAGAGAGTTGAGGAAGGCGTTTAGGGAATTGGTTAGGTATCATCAACACGTATTATGCGTTGATCCATTCAACTTTTTTCCCTCTTTATTTACAGGCCTAGCCAAACATCGGTGATGGCACACCTCAACCGACTTGTACCACAATACTATTACACGGCTTATTGTCCCGACTACAAATATATATATATATATATATATATATATATATATATATATATAATCCAGCACACTGCCTATCTACAAACAGCAACACCTAATCTAGACAAAAAATAATGGGTCCTACTCTAACAGCCAAATATAATGTAACTAAACCCCCTTTTTATTTTTTTTGCCTAGATTAGGTATTTTTAAAAAACAAACAAAATCTGTCAGCACTAAATTTGCTGTTTAGTAGATAAGGGAGTGCGCTGTGTGCTGGATTTTCATTTTTATTGTACTTATTGGCTCCCAGCAGCACCCTATTTATTCATGTTTAGGTGAGTGCAGCCATCCTCTTATATATAAATATATATAGACTTTTTTTTATTATTATTTTTAATTCTTTATTGGTATACAATCCTTAGTTTAACAAATAAACCTGTTAATATCAAGTAGCCCAAGTTACCTTCTTTTGCCAATGGTATGCCAGTTGGGGGCTGCTATTTTCTTTACCAAACATGCTACGAACCCAGCAAATCAATCTGTGAAAAATGAAAGATTAAAAACTTAGATTGACAACTATATAACTTCGCACTAGAGCCAGTGGTATTTTGTAAAGTTTAAAGATGCCTCCTTCCCCTTAGACATCCTAGACATATGAGCCATTTAACAATCAAGACTGATAAGGGCTTCTGATTGAGGTGTGTTGTGTTTTTTTAACTTTGCTGCACACTTGTCTTTTAAAAATGTTATACGCAAATATGTGAGAAAATGTGGGGTTTTGTTTTATTCTTCTTTTTATATTTTATGTATACTTCATGTTGCAGTGGGTGTGTGTATAATATGTATAGGTGTACTTAAAGAAAAAGTTTAGCATTTACAGTGGAACAAACACATAGCAGATGTTCTAGGCTTTGTAATAGTTCTGAAGTTGGATAATTGCCTCAGTCATTAAGGGGTTGAGGACGGGTACAGGAAAGCATGTATGATTGTTGTGAAGATAGGAAATGGAGACTAATGAACCTTGTATGGGCGAGGTTAGGTGGAGTACTAGAATGGTCATATTCTATTATCCATTTATCCACCTGAATTTCCAGAGGGGTGAGATAGAAACATCTGAATGGAATATTGAAAAACTTGATTTTTGATATATATTCATTTATGGAAAAGGCAGAGCTATCATTAAATAAACAACCACATTGATGTAATTGGACTCCGTTGTGCTAATTTATGCAACTGGGGATTTATTGGTTAAGTGATGGTAAGTGATTGGGTAAGTGATGGTGGAGTTTGGTAACTAATATAATTTCTATATTCACTCAGGTGTGTTCCCAGATAAAGCCAGCTTTGCCCTTCATGCTGTGCTCATTGATCACTTCCTGCGTGGGGGTTGGTACCCTACCGGTGGCGCCAGTGAAATTACCTTCCATCTTGTTCCCACAATTGAAAGAGCAGGAGGAGCCGTGCTGTCAAAAGTCACAGTGGATAAAATCCTGGTCAATGGAGAGAGGAGAGCTTATGGTAAGGAAAGAAAAATGGCAGAAATTGTTATAAGGGGGACACTTTTCCTAAATCTGAAATGTTATGCCCAGGTAAAATTAGTTTTAAACATTTACTATATATAATTCGATCATATTGTACTTTTCATTCTTATTTTCTTTTTTCTTTTTTTTTTTTTTTTATTCTTTTGACACAGGTCATAGCCTTAATAGAAAACATTACATGAGATAAGCATTTGTATGAGCTGAGGGAATTTGGTTTTAGGTTGTAGGTGCTAGCGCTTTGTCTTAGGCCTTTTGTGCCTAGGGATATAGCAATATAGCCAATGGGATCAATAGTTTGCTATAGGCAGTAAGGTTGGAGATGCTTAGAGTAGAATAGTGATATAGCGATATGGGCTTCCGACCAGGGTCAGATGGGATGCATTTCACCTGTAGTAGGGGCAGATAGACATTACGCCAGTACAGTGTAAAATTACCCCATAACCCCAGGGTGTGGGGGGATCTTATCCATTAGACAATTATAGGGACAATTTTTAAAATGCTGTAAAGTAAATTGTTAAATGGCTTGCGTGAGTGAGAAACATGGTGTAGCATATAATCCATGGAAAGTAAACACTGGAGAGAAGAGTTCTGCTCGCAGTTTACCTTACCCCATACAAAGGTAAGTTCAAGCCACTCTTCTCCATCAGGTAGTGGCCACTGTGGGGGCCTCTGTCCCAGACCGTCAGGGGACGAACGGTGTCAACTTTGTGGGATCCCAGGCTGTATTGGGTGCCACTGGGGTACTTGGTCCCACAAGGGACAAGGAGTCCCGCTGTAGCCACAAGGTTGGCAGGAGATCTATAGCGCCTTGCATGTCTTGAACATTGGACGAGGAATCGCAGTGGTGGACTAGCAGTGTGCAAGGTTGCCTCCACTGGTATTTGATGTTATGCAAGCGAAGGAGAGCTGTGAAGGCTTAAGTGAGCGGCACCAGGCCAGAGTGGACCCTGATAGATCTGCATAAAAATGAGAGCTGCATGTTCTCAAATGGATATGGTGATCTGTCTCTGTGACTCTGGAAGCGCACCAGAAGGTCCCTTGGTGCTACGGTCGGAGTTTTGGCTGGCCGTGGAACATCCCCTCCAGGGCCATTTGTTTAGACTGTGTAGGAGACAAGAGGGCCAACATAAGTCGCCTAATAAAGTGTGGTACCTCGGCCTCCGGTATGTCCTCTCCAATTCCCCTGATCTTGACATTCAGGCTTCGCCTTTGATCTTCCAATTGTGCAAATTTCAGATCGAATTTATGATTCTGCTGCTGCAGGTCGTGCACTGCTTGTTGCAGAAGCGTTGTATTATGCGTGTTTCGGCGGGAGTCTTCCTCCAGAGTACTCAGACGGCTTGTCAGGCCCTGCAGGTCTCTGAGGATCTGGGCCATATCAGCCTCTGCTCTATTTATGAAGTCGTCTGAGATGTCAGAGCAGTCGTCGGCATAGTTGGCCATATTTGTGCCCATGACGCTGTGAGTTTGCTTCCATAGGTCTCCGATATTTACAATTTGCCAGGGTTTGTCGAGCTTAGGGTTTTTTGACCCATCTTGCTATCTGCAATTTGGGGGTCTGTTGGGCACCGTTTCTGAGGAGTTTGGGCTATGGTAGAGGGTCCAAAGTGGCTGTTTAGTGCAGAGCTTAGGTGGCCATTCAGTCAGTAGCTTGGCTCCACCCCCTTATTTTTTTTATTTTATTTTTTTATTCTTCTTTTCCTCTACATGGACATTTTTTGTTTAAAAAAAATATCCTCTTTTGAACTGCTTGTCCTACTTACTCCCTTTTCTTCCAGTTTGTTTATTTTGTGTCCACCTTATAAGTATTTGTATTCTTTATCTTTACTTTGTTCGCAGGGACATTTGTGATCCTTAAAATGCCACTTACGTGATTTCTAACACAAAAGTTCCTTATGTTAAACTGGGAGACACGGTTCTGTATGTCCATAGGTACTTCACCTCTGCCTGGTCACCTTATTGCAGTACTCCCAGATCACAACCCTGAAAAGATATCTCTCAAATCTCATGAAGGCATTGAGGAACCCTCCAATGTTAGGGAGACTACTCATTGCTTTCTTTTTATTTACAGTTCTGAGATTTTTCTGTAAACCTGCGCTTCCACGTACAAAAATAGCAAGACCTCTTTTTCTATAGATTAAACCGGTGACCCACAAAATGCGTTTTAGGTACTCTGCAATTCTATGATTTTAATACATCTGTAACATATTTGACGCTATATTAATATTCCCAAATGTTTTGCAGGTGTTGTTGTGAAAGCAAAGGGACATGAACCCATGAATATTTTTGCCCCCATTGTGATTTCTGATGCTGGTATTTTCAACACATATGAAAAACTTCTACCCTCTGAAATGGAAGCATTGCCAGGTTTGTAAGAGTGACTAGGAAAATACTGGGTCTTTGATACTGGGCAAATATAAGCTGCCTAGGATGGGGATTGTAGGACTTTTATGAGAGAGTGTGTGTGTTCGTTCACATAGTGTGATTTAAAGAAAGTCTTTATTGCAGTGTTTTTCAACCTTTTAGTAGTACCCCTGGAGGTCTAAAAAAATCCCACGTTCCTGTGCCTTGAGAAAGTAATTTCTATTGATTTAAATTCCAAATGACACGTGTAGACACTGATAGTTAATCCCATATTGGAGAACTAGTCTGATTAAACACAGTAAAGAATATTTATTTTTAAAATAAATATGACATAATGTGAATATTGTGTATGTAAGAGGAGCGTATGAACTATTAATCTGAACTCTGAAGTATAAACGTCACAAAACGAAAATATACTACACACATAAGTTACATACAGAAGACACTGACACACACACATTTATACATAGAGGACACTGACACACATACACTCACTGACACACACTCTTATAGATTTGACACACACTGACAGACGCATACACACATTCTCTTACACTCATTCACAAATCCTATTTCTTATTTAATTCCATCTGGCCTCCCTACTTTTGGGGGAGCTAGAGTGGACCCTTTACCTGTGGTCCAGTGTGAGACTCGTGTAATATTGCTGTTTCAGCACTGTTCCTTCGCTTGCTGTTTAGTGATGCCGGGGACAGTGTGACGACTTCTCTCTGCATCTCCGCAGGGCATGTGTGGGAGCAGTACTGGAAGAGCACAGAAATTGCAGCTGCCTAGCCGTCTGGCTACAGCACCCCAATACACTGTATTTGGGCAGAGTAGGCACTTGCCATCCAGGTAAGCAGGTGCCTACTCTGCCTTAGCACCTAGTGAGGGCCCTAAATTGGCCAGTTCTTGGTTGAATATGCTGAGGTGAATTAATACTCTTTAAAGACTCCAATTGGGCATTAGTTAGATTATCATACTTTCAGCAGTGCACAATAGCCACTATACTTACCTGGCACTGTCGAGTGCCTGAGATCCTTCAGGTCTGCACTAGTATGCTGAACTTTAGGATTAACAATTCAATTGTCTATACTTAATCACCTTGACAGATTTCATGCCTTACTCATCATAGATTATTTCACATGAATTTTCACTTGTCACTTTCTATAATTCACCCCTCATTCACCCTGAGCAAGTCTGTACAGTTCCAATTAAGGGAATCTTTTGATTCAATTTAGTCCATGGCTGCCCCTCCTTGCCTCAAGCAAAAGCCTCAATTGCCTTTAGTGTGTCAGCCTTATAATAGTTGTTAAGAAAACCATGACTTTCATGAACTAAAAGAAAAATTTGACATCTGATGCCAGCACGCACAGTATGCTGGTTTCAGACACCCACAGACACCCAATTTTTGCACAGCCCGCCAGCTCCGTCCTTTCTATCAAGGAGGCTATCCCTAGAGGTAGAGCTATGTGTGTGCTGTCAGTGCAGGTATATTGGAGGGAACAACCTTAGAGAGACCGTGATAGAGCAGTGTGTTTATTGAGTGCAAATACAAACATTCTATTTAATTTCCTATTCTTTTCATAGTCCTCTCTAATGACATATTTCATGCTTCCTTCAGAGATCCAGAATCAGCTGGGATTGATGAAACACGGACAGGGAGGTTTCAGTCTTTTTATTGGTCTAAAAGGAACAAAAGAGGATCTTAATCTTCCAGCTGCAAATTATATATACCTCCCAAGTACAGACCTGACAAAGTTGTAAGTAGATGTCCTCAGGACCACCATAACATGCATGCTGAATTTTCCTTCTTTATGTTGACTATGTTAATTGGCTGATACTCTCATCTGTCACATTGGAGTAGATTTATCAAAGTGTTCTGTTTTAAACCTTTGTCTAATATAGTAAAAGTGGGGCAATTACCACGGAGACCGTGGAACCAGCAGGTACATTCCATCGGTGACCCCTCCGCTTTTACAATTTTTGCATCACTTTTTAGAAAAGACATGTAACCTGAGAACGCCTAATCCTAAACTTTACATTGTATCTAGTAATGTAAGTCACCCAGTGGAATATAGTATGGCCATTGACTGCCCCAGCATCCCATTTTATTTATCTCAATCCACAACTTGTCATCACTCATAGGAGAGAAAATGCTTAGGTGAATGGGCTTGAAAGTCATATTCCAAAGACCCTGGACTCTATTTGATTCAATACAATCTGTTGGTTAAAGCCTTGTTACAATTATGTGCACTGGCTCTGCAATTTGCAAATATTTGCATATTCTGTGAAATTCAGGCAGATTGCATTGGGATTAGGATTAATGTGTTCCATCATGCTCCTCATCATAATAGCTTTATTTTATTATCTTTTTATTGGTGCCTTTATGCTTTACTATATGTTTATTTTTTCATGTACTGTTTTGAATGCATCACAATAAGTTTAACCTCTTTAATAACATTAGGACGTTTCATGCAGTCCTAAACAAAAGTGGGCTTTTACGCTGTTAGGAACACATGGAATTATTATTATTATTATTTTATTATTTATATAGCGCCATCAAATTCCGTAGCGCTGTACAATGGGTGGACTAACAGACATGTAATTGTAACCAGACAACTGGACGTGCAGCAACAGAGAAGGAGGGCCCTGCTCAATGAGCTTACATTCTAGAGGGGGTGGGGTATAGTGACACAGAGGGTAAAAGTAGGGGTACGAAGTAGGTTGTTAGAAAAGTATTAATTGAGAGCTTAGTAGGTAATTTTTGACAGTTGCAGGAGAGGAGTCATGGAGGGTGAGGGATGAAAACCTGCTAACAGTTTAACTGATATGCTTTCTTTAAGAAGTGAGTGAGTGAGTGGAGACTGGGTGAAATTCTTACGGAGAAGGGAAGGGAGTTCCACAGAAAAGTTGCAGCCCTGGAAAAGTCTTGGAGGTGAGCGTTAGAGGTGGGAGTACGGACAGAGGATATACGTAGGTCTTTGGCAGAGCGTAGGGGCCTCGACGGGACATACTAGTGTATTAGTGAGGATAGGTAGGTTGGAGCAGCATTATGTAGGGACTTGTAAGCAAGCACCAGAATTTTAAATTGAGCCCTATATCTAACTGGAAGCCAGTGCAGGGACTGACAGAGCGGGGAGGCGTGAGAGGTGCGGACGGACAGGAAAATGAGCCTCGCTGCCGCATTCAATATAGATTGCAGCGGTGCAATCTGGGAACACGTAAGACCACTGAGAAGAGTATTGCAGTAGTCCAGTCGAGAGAGAACAAGAGCATGGACCAGCACCTTAGCTGCATCTGGGGTTAAATAGGGGCGGATGCGCGCTATGTTTTTGAGATGGAAGCGACCGGATTTGACGATTGATTGGAGCGGTGAAGGAGAGGTTGGAGTCAAAAAGAACACCCAGGCAGTTAGCCTGCCAGGTAGAGGTGATGGTAGCGCCGTTGACTTGGAGGGAGTCAGACACGGGAGTAGTAACACTTGAGGGAGGAAAGGCCAGAAGTTCTGTTTTGGACAGGTTGAGTTTAAGGTAATGAGCAGCCATCCATTTGGAAATCGAAGAGAGGCAGTCAGAGACACGAGTCAAGATGGGCGGAGAGAGATCAGGAGAGGACAGGTAGATTTGCGTGTCATCCACATAGAAATGATAACAACAGCCAAAGGAGCTGATGAGTTTACCAAGGGAGGCAGTGTAGATAGAGAACAGTAGGGGACCAAGGAACCTTGGGGGACGCCGACAGAGAGTGGTTGGGGGGAAGAGGCAGAGTCAGAGAAAGAAACACTGAAAGAGCGCTGGGAGAGGTAGGAGGAGCACCAGGAGAGAGCAGTATCCCATAGATAGGATAGAGTAATGGCCACGAGATTTAGCAGCAATTAAATCGTTGGATACTTTGGTCACAGCCATTTCGACAGAATGATCAGCGCGGAATCCAGACTGAAGGGGGCCAAGCAGAGAGTTGGTTTCGAGAAAGTCAGTCAATCTGGTGTACACAACTCTCTCGATGATCTTGGTAGCAAATGGGAGTTGCGAGATAGGGCGGTAGTTGGATGGGGAGTTGGGGTCAAGGCTGGGCTTTTTCAGAATTGGGGTTACAGTTGCATGTTTTGAAGGGTGAGGGAAATGTGCCAGAGGAAAGGGAGAGATTGGAAATTTTAGTGAGGGGAAGAACAAGAGAGGGAGACATAGTGCGGATGAGATATGAAGGAATAGGATCGAGGGGAATAGGTGGTGGGGCAGGAGGACCGGAGCAGAGCAGAAACCTCTTCTGCTGTAGCAGGTGCGAATGAGTGTAGAATGGTGGAGGGAGTGGGGTTGGGTGATGTAATGGTAGGGGAAGGAGAGAAATTAGCGATCTCTTCTCTGATTGTAGAGATCTTCTCAGTGAAGTGAGATGCAAAGTTTGTGGCGGACAAGGTGGTAGAAGGAGGGGGATTAAAAGGGCGAAGAAGAACATCAAAAGTGTGAAATAGGTGTTTGGGTTGATGGGACAGTGTACTTATGAGGGTGTTAAAGTAATTTACTTTTGCAGCGGAGAGAGCCAAGCTGTAGGAGTGCAGCATAAATTTATATTGGAGGAAGTCAGATGCAAAGTGTGACTTTCTCCAGGAGCGTTCAGCAGTTCTAGTACATTTTTGCAGGTAACGGGTCAGCTTGGTGTGCCAGGGTTGTAATTGGGGGCGCTTGCTGCGTTTAATTGTAGGAGGTGCCATGATGTCGAGTTGAGAGGATAGAGTTGAGTTGTAGAGTGAGGTAGCTGAGTTAGGGCAAGTTAGATTTGAGATGGGTAAAAGGAGAGTATTGAGTTTGGTGGAGAACTGCTGGAGATCAAGGCAGTTGAGGATTCTGCGAGATTGGAGAGTTGAGGGTGGTGAAATTTTGGTATGGGGTATGCTGATGTCAAATGTTAGTAGATGGTGGTCAGACAAAGAAAATGGAACAGTGGAGAGATTAGAGGGGGTACACAGATTGGTGAAGATGAGGTCAAGAGTGTTTCCTGCTGTATGAATTGCTGAAGTTGTCCTTGCATTTTGGTGTGAGAAGGTTTTAAATCCCTGTTCACACCGGGGAAACTGGTTGATACCCTGGGATTCCCACTGTCAGCTGGAGCCATTTTTTAGAGGCCTCTTAGTATCACCTGAGCTGCATGTAGGGTTCAAAGTGAGCACTGCATATAACCTTGTAAATGAGCGATGGTGTTCAGTTGCTGTTTTTTCCAGCTTTCCCCAGAAAGAAAGACCCCCAGTATCAGAAAACATCCCTGCATTTCCCCCTGCTGACAGTGATCAGCGTTGGGCTGTACCTGCTACCCAGCACCGACCACATAGTGATCGTCCAGGATAGCATGCAGGAGCTGCAGTATGAGAGGAAGATCTCCCCCTCATGCCACAATCACACAGTATAGAGCTATGTGTGATTTGAGAAATCTCTCTGCTAATGTCAGTACTAACGGTATGCCTCTGTGTTAGGGTAAGAGTTAATGCTTGGTTAGGGATAGTGTAGAGTAATAAATTAGGGGTAAGATTAGGATAGGTGTAAGCACAGGGGTAGGGTTGGTATGGCATGGGGCGGGATGGTTGGTACTGGGTTAGCATTAGCTATCAAAAATGCATTTAGATCCTTGCCATATGAGGCATTCATAATCATAACTGGTACATAAATTCATTTTGAGTACATTTTCTTTAGTTTCACTTGATGTGTTAAAAATTATCATAAGCAAAACTGTGAAAAATATTTGGTTTCTATGTATTCATAGTTAATGTTGTGTTATGTATGGGTGCAAACTTAAATTATAGTGGCGCAAATATTGTACGAATTTGACGGGATTTTTTTGGTTCAGAAGTTGGTTGATTGCCTCCATCCTTAATGGGTTAATGTAGCTATTGAAGGTTTGTCCCAGTTTAAAAATAAATAGATCAGCCAGTTTGTTTTTGACAAGTTTATCATTAAATATGAAAAATCTTAAGCACACCAAACATAATTACAATTAAAAAAGTTTAATTATTTAAGAAATGCATATCAACAAAGTACTTATCTGCAAAAACATGCAAATCTATACATAACGGCATCAATAACAATAAAGTGTTCTAGACATATATTGCTTTACCATATACCAACAGACACAAGATATACTGAACTAGAGCTGGAGACTACACAAACCCCAACGTTTCTGCACCTGGCCTTCCTCAGGGGGGAATCTCAAAGCTAATAGTACTTATTCTGAGGGGGCAGAGCCTAACTGTAGAACGGGAAAGATGCACAAAATAATAGCTCCTAACTACAGCGACTTATTTGGGAACAAAAATCGGCACTAATCACAGCAGAGAAGGCAGGATGCAGGCAGGGGAAACCCGGGGGTATCCAACAACCCCAAAAACGAGACCTACAACCCTCGGGAACCCTCAAAGCCACTAGGGCCTACTCATGACCAGGCTGGGGAGAGACAGACACTCTCCCCGACAGCAGAGGCATGCACGGACGCCTCGAAACAATTGCTTCCTCCCCTATGGACTGGTGGGGGATATCCCAGTCCCCCCCGGACTACAGGGGCAGCTCAGCAAAGACTCACCACAAAGCCAAACCTGTACCACAAAGGGGCAACTCGGCAGAAGATGCTTCCAAGATGGCGGCGGACTGGGAGGCCTCCCACATTGCAGCAGACACAGAGCTCCGACTAGCCACAATTTTTGACTCCTTGTGGGAGAAGCTGGAGGCCTACATGCGACCTCCCCGCCCGGTGGCCAAGACAAAGGGCAAGCCACTAAGCCCATATCAGGTGGCTGCTCAGCGGAAAACAAACGCTCCATGTGCCCAGAAGGCCAGCGCCACAGGGGCGCCATCCTAGCTAAACACCCAGGGAGACCCATTACCAGCAAAGGCAACCGGAAACCGACCCACAGGATTAAGAAAGTGAACAAAACAGAATACTCAGACCCTACACACCGACAAACACCGGTCAACAATAGACCAAGCAGGAACAAAGCGACATTTGATCGGCAGTGGAGAAGGCAAGAAACGAGGCCCAAAAAGGCGGCAAAGGCACTCAATCACGTAAGGGGGAATCTCCTGAGCACAAGCAGCGCCCGAGATCGAGACACACCTGGGCACTTAACCGGCACTGTGAAATACCCGCGGCGGGAATCGGCTGACCGGGACACTTATCACTGCAGATGAGATAATCGTTTATACCTCATACTGCCCATATAAGTGACTGGTGATGGATTATTGTTCCTATATGTTTTTTCAGCTAATTTTGCTCCAGCGTGTTACATGTAAGCTGTAGTGGTAATTATAATTCAGTAATATATGCATCAGGCTTCACAGTATGTCTCGTACTGCTGATAGTTTGAATGGCAAGCCTCCATGTGTAAGTGTGTATGGAGATTGTTTTGAATATTTTTATTGTGTGCACAATATAAAGTCATACATCAGATGGGTTTGTGGTAAAGCAAGTGATTGCCCACGCAGGGGCTCAAATATTAGTTTAACACTGCATATACATTTGGTTGCCTGCGTAGAGGCGGAATTGTCCTAGCCTGTGTTTTTGTACACTGGTGGTTGCTTTGTGTTTTATGCTCTTATGTATCGTGTTGCCTTATTAGTTCAATTATAGCATTAAGTAAGTGTTTTATGTTAACTAGAGTATGTCAGTGCTGCGTGTTTGCTAGTTGGTGAGTGCACATTGTCTCCTATGCAGAGGCAGTTTAATCAGCTTACTAAGTAGGGTCAGGCATTGAGCAACTATCTAAGATACAAAAACTTTTTCAACTTTCAGCATAAGGAGCATATTTGTTTGCAGTCTGCTGCCTTAATAGATAACAGAGCTATTTGGATATCAGGTTTACAGTAATAAGCGAAAATTACTCAGCTTGCTAATTAGAGTCAGGCATTAAACAACAATTTAAGCTACATAAACTTTTTCAACTGTCAGCATATGGAGCATATGTGTTTGCAGTCTGCTGTCTTAATAGATAATAGAGCTATTTGTATATCAGGTTTACAGCAATAAGCGACTGTACCGTCAAACATGCGGCAGTCAGTGATCGGATATGCAGCAGTATCTACCTTTGGCCCCTGTGGGCATTTTAGCATTAACCGCACATTCCTTTGGTAATTCAAAAACAGAATCATATAAGCGAATAGATACGAACTGAATGCAGCTGTTAAGACACAAGTGCAAGCTATCTATTGAAAACTTGTTCGCGTTTAAACGGCATTAACTATGAACATGAATAAAAGCCCCTAAGTAATCTTTATGTATTTCTAAGCTTATGTGAGGAACTTCTCATGTGTCCAGAATTGCATGTGAGCTTGCTTATAGGAAAAGTCCCGGAATTTTCAGCGGTGTATGTTGAGCTGAATTATGGAGCGGTAAGCTATCTGCATATCGGATCGGTGAGGTCCTTTAGGACGCCGGTCGTCCATCTGTCCTCCCTCAGGACTCAGTCCCCCGCGGAGCGCTCCGTGATGCCGTGGGCACTCGGGGTCCAGGCCAGTCCATGAGACCCCCCACAAAAGTCCCAGCACCTGCTGTCCCCTGCACCTCCCCTGCATCACTTGCGCTGCCAGATGACTCCTGGTCCCACGTGTCTCACCCAGTACAGGCCACACACTTAGAGCCGATGCGCCTCCTCCCTCACGGCCACCGGTATACCGGAGGGGTTTAGTGCCTTCTGGCCCCACAGGGCTCACTGCGCCAGGGACATCCTTCTCCGGGCCACCCAGAAACCCAGATGCAGGGTCCAGTATCGCCACCAGGGGGCAGGCCATCTGGGGCGTCCGTCCGTGAGCCGACAGCCGTCTGGGCCCCTCGAGCCGCATACAGAAGCCTCCACACAGAGGTAGGTAGGCCTTTTCGTGCTTGCCTGTATTCTGTCTGCCCTTATCTGCTGGCTGGCTATTCCTGTGGAAACTTTGCCAGTGTAGGTGATTGACCCGCGGGGGCCTCTGTCGCCGCGGAGGTCGCCACCATGTGGCCGGGATAACCCCCACCGGCCTGGGGGGGGAGCGGGGCCGCGCCGCCGGCCGGGTCCGTCCGTTTAGCATCGGGTTCAGGCCTCTCTTTCTACGACCGCCCCACCGGGCCACTTCGCCTTTCCAGGCTCCTGCCACGTGCAGCTGTGGTTGCCCACTTTCTGCTCTCTTGGTGCGTGGTCGGTCCCATACGGGTGTCTCTCTGGAGCAGGGTGCGTGTACCACCTCTTAATTGCCGGGGTGTCCCCTTTAGGTTGCTGCACGACCGCTTTTTATGTCGATTTTGGGGTATCTTAGGACGGAGCTAAAGCTCATGGCTGCCATCCAGCTCGGCGGCCCGGCCCCGCCCCCGTGTATGGAGATTGTACCCATGCTCGTTTGCCCGGTTTAGGGGCAGGTTGCAGAATGTGTAGTCGCCAGAATAATGAGGTGTCGACTGTTGCTGCTTTGGCGGTTTCTTGCCATCTCCTCCGCAGTACCCAACCAGGGAGATGTGGGAACGACACTTTCAAGTTGCGTCTTCTTTTGCGGCTCACCTTGGGAGCCATGACTTGGCTCGCAGGAGTAGAGGTGAGTCCCCTTTCATAAAGCTTGGCCCAAAAAGCTGCGCAGATGCGTTTAACCCCTTAAGGACCAAACTTCTGGAATAAAAGGGAATCGTGACATGTCACACGTCATGTGTCCTTAAGGGGTTAAAGTGTAAAGAGGAGTGGGTGTTCGGGCAAAGGTGCCTGCGGGAAGGGGCTTCAGGCTGTAGGCCTCTGCAGAGTGGCCATCTTGATAAATAGGCCTCAGCCCCCGGGTTCTGCCGCAGGCTGGATTATTTGTCGATGGGACTTCACCAATATACCAGTGGGGACCGGGATATCCCCCCTCACCCTCCCTGTTTGTGGCAATAGGTCACAGGAAAATCAAGCATGGGCTTCGAGTGCCAGATGCAGGCAGACAAGTAGCGTATAATCAGCAGGGTACTCCCAGGGGTGGCATGCAGGGTTGGTGCCTATATTTGGGCTTGTTGTGTCGAGTTTCAGACTCATTAGGTTAATTACACTGAGGAGGTCCAGCACCGGGCGACCCCCTTATTTTCACTTTTATACCCAAATGATACTCCGACATCAACCCATAATTAAAAACACTTTCCGGGAGGATCAGATTAAAAAAAACACAATCAAATTATCCATTGGTGAATGCTATCGCCAATACCGACTTCCGTGTATGACGTCATCACGCAAAACAGTATTAAACAGTGTGTCATTGGTATATGGGTTTATATAGTTAAGCACTTTATGTCTAGAGCATTTTATTGTTATTGAGGCAGGTATGTATATATTGCCATTTTTTTGCACATAAGCACTTTGTTGATATGCATTTATTAAATAAATAAAACTTTATTACGTGCAATTACTTCTGGTGGGCATGAGATTTTTTCTATTTCATGATTGCTTGGCACCTGGTGGGGATACAGGTTCTTCTCATTTAGCACCCTTGGGTTTTCATAACTGCACGCCACACGAACATTAACGCATATCATTAGAGTGTTCACTATAATATACTGTGCATTTTTTGGACAAGTTGCCTGAATCTGTTCCTCTTCAAGAGCCCACTGATATATTAAGAATGTCAAACTTATGTTTAAAATGACAAACTGGAAAATATCTCACACAATACTTGCAGTTTGGCGGCTCTGGCCCTAAATTTTACATTCACTTTGAACTAAATAAGAATTCTCCCTTTAGTGTATAATCCTGACAATCTCAGTGCCTGTTACTGCTTGCTCTTATGCATTGTATGAGTAGCATGACCTGTAGGTAAAGAATTAGGCTTCAGGAAAAATAATATCTTTATAAAAACTGTGTTCGGAGCAGGCAGGGAGAGAGGGATTCCTTCCTAAAGGTGGGTCTTGGTCCCTAGAATGGGAGAAAGGATAGATGGTGTAGTGGGACAAGTCTGGGGGAGGGACAGATGATGGAGCAGGATATAGCTAGAGGGGGGACACATGATAGAGTGGGATAAATCTCCTCTATTATGTTTGAATGTATTCAAAAGTCTAAAGTTTTGCACTCCGGTTCTGATGTACAATTTTTCTTACAGAGAGAAAGATTATTATACTTCCAGTGCAGATGAAGCCGTAAATCACATTCCAATGGTGTACATCTCCTCTCCTTCTGCAAAAGACCCCACCCATGAGGAGCGATGTCCTGGTAAGGTCTTCACCATATTGTAGCATATCCATGGAATTCCAACATAAATACTTCCCAAACTTTAACATGTGCACTTAACTATAACCATAGTAAACAAATTACCTCGATCAGCTTTTGCTCGGTATGTGTTTTCTCATACTCCAAGGAACCCCAACCAGACAGCAGAACTCGTTATTCATACTGCCCTCTGTAATTGCCTCGATTAGCTATTGATAGCTATGTCCTGCTGTACCCTCTTTTAAGATTGTATACTCATGCCATAGTCATTCATGTTAAGGACTACCATTTTCTTAATGTTTAGATAGTCTGCCGGAAACCCTGCTGCTCAGGATACTCCTCCTGGTTATGTTAATCCATTAACCCTTGCAGTGGCTCCAACTTCCATGACAACTTCTGCTTTTAAACAAAGTTATGGAGGAAGGAATCTGTATATGCAGTTTTTCAGCTTGAAACTTTGCACATATAGGAATATTTACAGTATTGTGCCGGGCGCTAGTTACGCCCCCAACACATATGGCTACATTTCTGGTTGCTTAATTTTAAATCTGTGCAAGAATTAAGCCTGCAAATACTAACTGGTGCCCAAAAAAGCAGTATAAATGAAAAAATAATAATTAAAAAAAGGGTTATATATATTATATATTTATAGGATATTTTTTAAATATGGTAAAACCTACTATACTATGCTGGGGGGGGAGAATAATATATATATAATATATATATATATATATATATATATATATATATATAATCTCATAGGCTGTTTTAATTAACAGATGGGAATCCCAATTTTATTTCTGTAGTTTCATTTTGTTACAGTTAGTCATTCAGGGTTATTTACTAAACTGAGAATTCCAAGTGAATTTGAAATTTGAGGCCAGAATAGGTAAACTGAAAGTCTAGCTGAGAATGTTTCCAGTTCACTACTTGGACCTTAAATTTGAAATTCACTTTGAATTTTCACTTTAGTGACTAACACTGGTGGTGTATGTGGCACACTTTGAGGTCATGGCACACTTGCCTATTTCCTGTGATCAAGAAACTGATAATGCAAATGCTAGTCATTGAATATGACTCGACTCAGTAAACTCAGCATAAAATTCACTATGTTGATATGACCCACAGAGTGATTAGAATACCCATCACTGCAATAAGTCAGGCTTCCCCAAACTCCGGCCCTCCGGATGTTGCTGAACTACAACTCCCATGATTCTCAGCCTATTTATTTAATTCATAGAATCATCATCACTTGCTCAGAAAGCACCCCAACTACCTACGTAACATGCTCAGCCTTGCCCTCCATGGCCCTGTATTTCAGAACCTTTTTTAGCAGAATTACCCTTGTATGTCTGGGGAAAAAATAAATCCTAACTAATATTAATTAAAAGTTTACTCCAACCATCCAGCCCTCTGTTGTGGTTATGGTGGTAGGAGTACCCTGGTGCCATTCTCCAGTAATGGGGCAAACCCTCTAACAAGGTTTTGCCCACTTACCTGTGTCCCTTCTGGGCGCAAGGCCTCCTCTGTAGCAGGCTTTACAACATCTGGGTGCCGATCCTTACATTCATTGACTGAGAGTATCAGTTAAAACTCTGGGCTGACTCATGATGCCCAAATTCCCCTGCTGGAAGTGGAATTATACCTCTGGCGCCAAAGGAGTTAAACTCGGTATGTGCTGTGTTTCATTGTGAAATGTTGCACATACAGATTCCAGGCACCATGACCACTTCAAATCACTGACATTTTAGTCTATTTTGCTAACTATTTTATTAATATGCAAAGCACTGTCTTACCTTTCCTGGCACTACTAATGATATTGCATGTCAGATCTCTCAAATCTCCTATACTAGCTGCCTTTTAAAAGGATCAAAGGGTACACTGACTTTATGTGAGTTGAAGGGAATTGATACACTCTCCCTTATCTTATTGAGTACTAGCAAAATAGATTTGCTTTTTGAGCATTGCACGTTAAACCCTCCCATTGCTCAACTTCCATATGATAGCACAACCTGTGTATTTGATGTAAATTAGGGGTAGCCTTGCCTTTTTAATATATATTTTTTTCCAAAAAGGGGAACATTGGTGAATGGGGTGAAAAATAATATAAATATATACCTACATGAGTGCAGCTATTTGCTTTTTTCTTGATGCGGATCATTTGTTTGTCATGCCAAAGTATATTTTTACATTTCACATTTTTGTCAATTGTAAAATTAACCAGGAAAGTCCACGATGACTGCCCTTTCCTTTGCACGCTATGATTGGTTTCAAGAGTGGAAGGATAAGAAAGTACAGAAACGGGGAGCAGATTATGAAAGTGTGAAGAGCGCATTTACTGAGGCCATACTGGAAACACTTATCAAGATCTTCCCTCAGATCAAGGACCAGGTAATGGGACCACAAAGGATACATTTTGAGACAGTTGGGGAAATGAAGAATGGTACAGAGATTACCACTCAGGGTTACTTCTTTTTGGAAGGAATGAAATGGTTGATTGGAAATTAAAAGAAGCAGTAACATCCAAAAAAGAAAAATGACAAGAGTGCTATTCTTGTGACCCACTGTGAAAAACCTCTTTAAAGTGTAAACTGTGAGAACAAACCCAGGTAAACCTTAGGAACAAATAAGGAATGGATGATTTCAATTGAGGAACAGGCCATAAATATCACAAGACACAGAGCTAGAGACAAAATGCGAGAGGTTGTCCGCTTAACTATTGTAAAATCTAGAAGTAGAACAGACCAAGCTGCTCAAAATTGTTTGTGTCAGGGTTATTCAGTAAACAATGCATTTAAGCATATTTAAATCCAATTTGTAAAACTGAGACTAAAATAACAAATTTGAAAGAATTCTTTAACTCGGCTTTTGTCGCAGTTTGGCTATTCTATACTTTCATTTGCTAAAATTTTGGAGTTTAGTGAATAACCCTTTATGTCTCTACCATCTATTTGAGGTTCTGCACACATTTCTATTTCTCACCACTTTTCAGATCGATTGCTACACCAGTGGCTCTCCACTCACCAACCAGCACTACCTGGGGTCCTCAATGGGGGAATTCTATGGAGCAGAACACGATATTGCCAGATTGGACCCAGAAACCACAGCCATTAATAGGGCCACAACACCCATAAAGGGACTTTACCTGACTGGTAAGTATCAGAACTGTTTGATTTTTCTTGATGTTCTATTTCCATGGACACTTCGTGCATACTTCGTGGATGTCCAAAGAACAAGGATCTATTAATCTGCGACTATTTTTATTAGGCACTTCATCTCTGAGTCAGTCAATGATCACATCAACTGAGTGGTTTACTTAACAATCAGTAAGTTGGACTTGTAGACATATTGGAGTATATTTACAATTTAGCTATTTTATGTCTATATTTTGGACTTATTTTTTAATTCTCTGTCCATTAAAAATAATTAAGTATGAATGATGTGAACAGGGAACTTCTATTTCTTTTATTTATTTATTTTTATGTAACAAACGAGCCTGTGTTGCCACAATAGCAATACCAGGCTGAATATTGTCATACATTTGCAAACCTGGCAAGTGGAGGTTCTGCACATTTTTACAATAAAAGTGATATAGCATTGGTCGAAGAAGGTATGCGTGGCATAACAGAACTTATAGTAGTCAGAAAGTAAATCCAACACCCAAATAGTATGAAGATGGGAACACCTAAGTGTCCAGTCCCATAATGGAGCAAAAAAACATTTTTTACATAACAGCTTAATTAACTTATGTTAGACTATAGTGTAGGAACCGCACTGCCCATCTGCTAATCCTATATTAGGTATTGTTAGGTCTTTTGCTCGGTCTAGGGATTTAACAACTGGCTAGGGAGTTACATGCGGTATCCAGCAGGGAACTTCTATTGCAATGATTAAAAATTATGCTATAAGAAAGTGCCTATGTTTCCCCTTACTGGAGTTGTTGATTTTGGTATCTTTTCACATTGTGGTGGCGTTCAGACTTTATTCTCTTGTCTTGCAGGTCACGATGTCCTCATGTGTGGGTTTGCAGGAGCTCTAATTGGAGCTGTGGTCTGCACATCTGAAATCCTAGGACGAAATCTCTTTGTGGACCTGGAGTTTCTAAGAAGGAAGATAATTCAGGAAAAAGCCCAAAAAAATGAGTGATCTGAGCTCTGATCACAAATTTATGGGTGGTAGGAAGGTGGGTGAGCTGACCACTGGTTATTTTCCAATTCATACCAGAGTTGTACATCATTAATTCTACTACATATCAGTAGCTCACCAAGAATCCGCAATGGATTCAAAGCTGTGTCTGATTAAATGCACTCTTATTCCTAGTTTTATTTTCTCCTCCTGTTCCGATCTGTTCATGTCCCCTCTTACTCAATCTTCTCTCTGTATTCCCACCACATTGTTTCTGTCCCTCAGTCTCCATCTGTCTTTGTCCCATTTCCCCAAAGATCATGTTTATTTCTTTCCCACAATGTTCCTGCATCTCTACCAATTCTTTCCCTGATCCTTGCCTAACTTTATGTTTGGGGGAAGCTGCGAAGTTGGGCAGTAAAGCTTGCAGTGGTGAAGTAGAGGAGTAGCAGAACCATCCTTGTTCTACTATGTGGAAACACGGCATGTGACGTAATAATGGATGAAGGCAGCTGCTTTAGGATGAATTTTTGCCTTTTGCCATCCCTTTAAACATGCCACTAAACGTCAGGACCTAAATATGCCATTGCACAGTGCAATAGCTTTTTATAAATAAGGCCAATAATCTAGGCAATCTGTTTTGTAATTGTTACTTATTTTTTTGTAAATTATGATGAAAATAATGTAGCTTGACAATGTAAAAAAGTCTCTACCTAATGAAAGATTTTTAGTCCCGATTTTATGTCTAAACGATTTACTGTATTGATGTATTTAAAATCTGCTGGATTTGTTTTCAGATGAAAATAGGGGTCTATGAGAAAACAAGCATGTCCAGACACAACTGTGATTGTATCGTTAACATGGAGCAGAAAATAAATACTGATCGGACAAGGAGATCAGCCATTCAAATTGTTTTATATGCACTTTTAATGTATAGCAAAGTTGAGCTGCCATATTGTTAGAGAATTTAAAAACAAGCATTTATTCTGTAAACTGAGCACTATGACATTTGACAAAGGAGTTGCAACTTTTGAGGTGGGAAAAACGAGTTTGAGAATAAACTTTTCAGTTTTCTAATAATTTCTCAGTTTATTGAATAAACCATTAGGGGTATTGTTCAGGTGAAATCCCCTTTTATTATGTGGAACCTTAATTCCATGCTGATGTTGGGCTCCATATAACACATACAATAAAATTCTACCCTCAAGCATTTTTTTTCATGTATGGTATTTGTTGTTACCACTTCTGCAAGGAGTATGTTCCATGCAAAAACGTCATGTTAGAAAATTAAATGTTTTGTTTTTTGAAAGACGTGGAAACATCAGCCTGATTTGTGTTTTTAAGAACTTTTCAAATTCAGTGCAGAAGTATTACAGGTATTGCTTTCTAGATACTAAGGTAAACAAGCAAAGGACACATTAAAGAGACACTCCAGACCCCTAAAGCACTTAATTTGCTGAAAGGCTTTATGTATAAAAAGTTGGTCATCTTTATTAATTTTGCAAAAAGTGCAGATGCCAATTGAAATGTACACTTTTATGAATTAACCTGGTTACACGTCATGGTTTTGTTAGCTCAGTGGAGCTAGACTCAAGAGGCAGCAATAACTCACCTGCCTTGCAAAAACTTCTCATTGTGCTGCATTGGCTAGTTTGTGATTGGACAGCCACAAACGTCTGGGCAGGGTTAGAAGGGGAAGGATTGCAAAGTCAGAACTGTAACTTTTCTAAGCTATTTTTAGATATCAAACAAAAAAGGGGGAAATCGAAAGAGCAAAACCCCCAGTCTGTTAAGGTAACAGTGAAATTCTAAAGGTAGAGTGACTGCTCTAGCAAAAAAAATCTTAACTTCATGGTTGTTAGGTAGACTTTATTAATCTGTGCCAATTTATAGATTGTAGCTACCAATAAATAGACACAAAAGTAAAAGAAAAAAGACACAAAGGTAACAAAAAGAAGGAAGAGTATGTAGGGAAACGCTACTGATAAATGTCTAGGTAAATAGTGAATGTGCAGTAGCCCAACTAGAACTAAAGTCCCCCCATGTACATCATAAAATAAAATCAGTACATATGTCAGTATACAATGTGGATATTCCCAACATCCTCAGCCAGCTAGAAAAAACATTATACTGGCAAAGAACATCAATATCATAGGGCCGTCTTTTCCAGCAAGATAATGACCGACTAAACCAGTAAGAGTAAAAAATGTGTGATCTTATAAGCTACATACCTGAGATGTAGCAAAAAATGCCACAACTTACTACCAGCTGCTCCCTCAATATCCCCAAGAGGTGAGAGGGTATAGTGCTACAAAAGTTGAATCACTGGATCCCTAAAATACGATCAAAAACTAGGATCTAAACAGCTGGCTGCCATAAGTAATAAGTAACAGCCTACTACCGTCCTGTCACCGAGTGACCTACTGTTAGATCACTCTACCACTAAACTAGATAGGCATACTGGTGAAAAAATGTGCCAATGGTGCAAGTAAATAAAAAAAACAAATAACCCAACGCACATTACGGTGCATAACTGCATCTTCTTCAGTGGTAAACACCAGACTGAAAGGTGAGCCAGTTTCAAAAGGGAATGGAAACCCTACCACAACCAATTTCACCGATCAAATAAAACTACCGCCCATAGCTGAAGTAAACCAATAATGGCAAAAGTATCTCACACTCCTGGGCATAAATCCAATGCAGAGGGATGCTATCCCAGCAACAATCGGGTGATGCAACCCATCTCTGAAAAGCTAGCCTTCGCGATAGGGTATATCTCTATTGTTGCATGTATTCACTTAATTCCTGTCGCGGAAACACAAATCCCTAATAATTAAATGTGATGTACAGGACAAGGTGGTCTTATAGATGGTCAAATAAACAAACTCCTCTATTAAAACCCCCACCCCCATTACTAATCCCAAACGGGTATGGAGGAGATATACCACTAAGATGTATAAGGGGAATACAGCATATGGATGTACTGTACCTGGAAGATGAAGGGTCCACAACAAAGTGCAAGTCAAAATAAGGAAATACTAAAAGACTGTATAAGATATATAAGACCTCAATCATTGATAAATGACAAATTAGAAAAGCCTTCATTCATGCCGAAGGGAGAGAGTGTCTTCAGACGATAGATCCAAAATACTCTCTCCTCATAAGTTTCTTATACAAATTGTTTCTCCTCTGATCTAATCCGACCAGTTCAGTGCCAGCGAACTTCAAACCTTCGAACTTCATGTGGGTTGCCTCTAGGTGTCTCAATATGGGTGTCTTTGTATGTCTATTGTATTTGCCGAGTTGATGTGTTAGATTATCTGAAACTTAAATGGGCAAAGTGTCTTGTCCGTATACTTAAGGCCACACTTGCGCATCAATAAATAGATGAGACCTGTTAAATTGCAATTGAAAAATTACAATACATATTTGTTTGGTGTTACTGTTATTGGAAATAAATTTGGAGTGTTTGAGAGCAAAGTTACAGGCCTTACACCTCCCACAGGTATACGTCCCTGTTAGTTTGTTAGATAACCAATTAATCGAGGTATTTCTTGGGCTGAAAAGTGGCTCTGTACTAGTAAGTCACCTAGGTTCCTTCCCCTCCTAACAGTGATAGATACTTGTGGGGGGAGTACCTCCTGTAGTTTACTAACCTGTGTTAACAATGGACAATATCTTGCCAAAATGTTTTTTACTTGGAGCCACCCAGCATCAAAAGTCACAATGCATTTGATGTAAGTATCAGTCCATGCTTTTCATTCTGATTCATCAATAAGGTACCCTGTCTGTAAGGAGTGCTCCTTGGTTTTCATAGTCCTGTTGGGGTATCCATTTTCACAAAACAGTTCTTTAGCTTTTATTTTAAAAGTTTCTTTGTCTGAGTAGATTCAGCAAAGATGGAGATACTGCCCAACAGGAATATCCCTTGGTGTTATCTTTGATCCTGGGCTCACCTTTGTACTTCAAATCTAGGATGTTGCTAAAACCTGTTGATACCACCTTATAAACATTACTCACATCCGCCCCTTTCTTACGCAAGATGCTGCCAAGGAGCTTTTTGATGTTCTGTAATCTCTATAGTGTGGATTACTGTAATTCTCTACTAACTGGTCTTCCCAGAAGCCGAACTCCCCTGCTACAATCTGGAGTGAATGCTGCCGCCAGGCTGATCTTCCCCTCGTGTCGCTCCTCCCATACCTTGCCCCTCTGTCGATCATTACACTTGCTTCCCGTATCCTGTAGGTTCAATTTAAAATACTAACCCTTACCTATAAAGCCTTAAACAACTCTAGCCTGTTACATTTCTTCACGGATTCGTAGTTATGCCCCTTATTGGTCTCTCCGCTCTGCCAGTGAGCTCCTCCTGTCCTATTACTGTGCTTGCAGGACTTTTTGCTGGCGGTTCCTTTCCTTTGGTCACAAACACTGGCCAAAATTGGCATTCAAATTAGTTTTTTGCATTTTTTACACACAAACAAATATGAACACTAACTTTGGCCAGTGTTTGTGATCAAGTGGCTACTAAAATAGACTGGACATACCCCATTTGAAATACCTTGGGTTGGCTACTTGGGTTAGACCAGTGTCCTCCCTGGAGTGGGTTTGGAAAGAATAAGAAGGAGTATGGTGAATTTGTTTTTAAGAAAAAAATCATATTTACTAAAAACTAAAGCTTTTGAATAAGACAGTTGTCTCAAAATGATGCATGTCCCTTTACTGGCCGATTTAGAGTAATGTGATGTGTTGAATTGCTAAACTGATATCTTTCCACTGCATCATAAACATTAGATTCCAAAGGTCTAAGCCAGGCGTATCACATCATAACCCTTATCTGTTCTTGGCAGTCAAAGGCTACGGTTCTATGGTGTCTGAATCACTTAGTCAGATTGCATAAGAGAATGTCATACTGATAGCACTGAATAATGTGTTGGCAACATATACATATTTGTTACAGCATGGCATATTTAATTACACCAGCCAGTCATGTTTTGTTGTTTGAATGGAACACTCCAGGCTCCATAACTACTACAGCAATAATAATAATTAAAGAGACAAGCGAATTACCCTGGTGCCACCCCAGTGTAAGTAGTCAAACCGTTGACAATGGGTACTGGTCACTTTCTCCATTGAGAACAGGACACTCCTGCACAGAGAATGTGCCAGCTGATTGTTCTCAGCCAATGTGCTAAGCAGTGCACCATTGGTCTTGACCTAGGGCAGTCAGCTTCCAGGAAGAGGTGACCGGCTCCGGACAGCACTGTAGTGATTGTGGTGCTTAGGTGTTCCTTTAACTCTGTTCTCCTTCAACTCTAAAGGGACACTATAGCTGACTAATAGCCAAACAGTACTCTACCATCCAAGCATGCATAGGCTGGCAATTGGTAGGGGTGCAATCGATCACCAAGTTGTTAGCTGCACCCTAAAACTGTTCTTTTGTTTTAAAATAGTGATAGGTGAGCTGGAATGCCTGTTGACACATTTATCTAGGACTGAGACAGCAGGCATGGGTTGTGTAGGACCTTTGATATCTTTGGACAGATTTTCCTTTAGCTTATACTCTTGCTGTGCTTTTGTTTTATTCCCTGCCCCTTTCTTACTTAATTAGTTAATTCAGAACATCCTTAATTAAAGCATCCTTCTAGCCCAAATCTTGACAACATGTTCACTTATCATAATGTGAAATCTGTATGATAGGTAAATAATATATTCTGTGTGTAAATTCAATGAACCTATGGTAAACCTACACCCCACGCCCCAAACCTTCTGCTCTATTATCCAACCATGTCCTATACCACCATGTGCCCTCCTTCCATTCTATATCCCAAACCTCCTGCTACCCACCTGTTAACCAAACTCATTTCCTCTTACTTCCCTGCCATATGGAATACTCTAAATCTCCTTCATTCACTCCTCACACACATACATCCTCGCTGAAAACCATCTTTGAAAATATCCATATATGCAGATGGTTTATATTTGTCTGCATGCGCTACATGTAAACACAGATTTTTTTGTATGGGTTATGTGTATGTGAATGCAAGGATGTATTTGTGTGTAGTTTTGGTATTAAGTGCAGCTGCGAAACTCACAGATATGGACACACTGGTACATTTTATTTTTTATTTTTTTTTAATTCTTTATTTTTCATTGTGCAAGAGATAACAAGACAGCTTACAGAGCCACAACGGCCTACGCAAGCACATTGATAACATTGATGTACATTCCTGTGGCATTTAAAGTCGTAGCACAAAATTTTTAGTAAGTAGCTATAGACAAGCTGTATAACACGCAGAACTATAAAACTCAATGATATGAACACGTGATTGGCACATGTTTAGTAGAATAACTGTAGCTTGTCAAATATATCTAGTAAGACTGCGCTTTTAGTATGAGTAAAGTTTAGCGGTTCTAGCTAATGTTGCAGCCGGTTTAGTTCAGTATAACTGACAGGATTCACATTTACTCTAGACTTTACCTTAGTGTCACTGTGCTTGATTATACATAAACTGATTTTGTAGCTTAAACATATAATAGACCTGCGCTGCTCTATTCAGTAGTTGTATCGGCACATTTTTTATACACAATCGAGTACTGCGGAGTAGATCAGTAGATTAGTTATTGTGAGTGGTAATAGCAAGAGGTGAGTTTGTAAGAGAGAAGTTGACATGACTAGCTTAGAGTAGTACCATGCTGGATTAAACCTTTTCATAACAGGCTGATATATCTGCCTATGCATGGGTAGTAACCTTACAGATAGCTGGAGCCCCTCTCATCATTAATGCTACAGGTTAGTAGTTACGAAGGTATGTGTGTTGGGCTATCATTGGTTGCCCGGTAGTGAGGCTAAACTCGGAGAAGCTCAGTATGAGATTGCTTGGTCCCTAGTGGCGCCCCCCGTCCCCGTGAACAGAATGGAGTGTCAAATTAACTTGCCAGTACCCAGTGTTAACAGGATTTAGGGGTTAGTGAGCGACAGCGGGGCAGGCTTTGCACGTATTGTGTACTTACGGCTTTGAGGCAGCAGCAGAACAACAAAAAGAAAAACAGTAAATGCAACATTTTTAAAGTCAGGAAACACTTTCGCTGTAAATTCAGTCCTTTACCGTCTGTCTTAAACGTGTCAACAGTGTAGGCAAGGTTAATAAGTGTGTCCCAGTGGAACTCGAAGCAGGTGCCAGGCTCCTGCCGCCGGTTCGAGGTAGTCATCTAGCCGATTCCAGATCTCAGCGCCTGCCGCCCGGTCACAGGGATCCAATGTACCTCTTGTGGCTGCTTGGCTCGACCAGGGTGGTTGCAGGGTGTTCGGTAGGCTAGCGTTTGGATGGCTAGCGGCTCTCCCAATCTTTGCCCAGCTGTGTGGATCCCGTTCCTGCGTTTGTCTGTGAGCGGGAGATGGTTCCTTCTGGGGCACCGTCTCAGTGCTCTCTGCGGTCGGGGGGTAGTGTGGCGATTTTCAGTCACCTTAAATGCCTCTGCCTTGATTCGGGGTATGTCCCGTTTGCGTGCCGCCCGTTGTCGGAGGGACGGGGGTCTCCTACTGCGTCGCCATCTTGTGGCTCTCGTCCCCGCTGGAACGGTAAATGCCCGCCGTGAGGGCACAATCAGCTGTGGGGGTGAGTGTGGCTGTGCTGGGACGGTCTGATGCCTCCTTTCCTCCAGCTTCTGCCAGAAATCACTGAATATTTTGTTAAGCCTGTACTCCAGGTCTGTGTGTCCTGCGTTGAATTCAGGATGCCTCGTGGCTGCCGCCATGTTTAGTGAGGTGCTTGCTGTCTCTGTGGGTTCAACGGCTTCTCTCTGTGTTCCCCTGAGGTAGCCAGAACCTCTCAGGGGTGGGCCGGGATGACCCCCGCCGGCCCAGAGGGGGGGGTAGCAGGGCACTTGTATAGTGTGCAAGGTAGTCGGCTCCCGCCGGGCAGGAAGATTGGCCACCTCTCCCCTCTCCGGCTTACACCAGGCCACCCTCATAGATCTGCATCTGGAGGGCTCCATGTGACCGCTGTCAGCAACCCCGAGCCGGTCAGTCAGTGTTGGGTGCTGGGTCTGTTCGATTTGCCTCTGATTGTGGACTGATAATGCAGGTTTTTGGTTTATATTGACTATTGCTCGAGGAGCTTGCTGAAAATGCGTCCAGGCGCCATGACAGTCAGGCCCCGCCCCCCCGGACACACTGGTACATTGCCACATACACATACTGTGTAAAACGTATGCACTCTCTTGCTTTCATATTTTTTGTGTGCGGGAGAGTGGCTCCCTGAGGTCTAGTGGTAGCTAGCTGCTGCAGGCCAGGAGGAATTGATATGTAATCATAGGCGTGTGCAGCCTATTGCATTAGGGTGTGCACCCTAAAGCACAAACACACGCCGCATGTGTGTGTGTGTGTATATGT